AATTTACCCCAATGCAACAGCTCCCCTCCCACTTCCTCCTGATAGTTACCTCTTCCCTGTGTCCATCACTCCATGCCCTCCTGCCCCTTGAGCTGCCTCCCTGTCATCACCATCTTTTTAATCAGTAGGGTCACCATCATCATTACCATCAGTAGCCATAGTAGCAGCATCCTCACCATCATCATCATAACCATCATTACCATCTATATCATTATCATTGCTATCATCATCACCATCATCTTCATCATTCTCACATTTTTGTTCTCCATTGACACAGTATTTCCCCATCCATTATTTCCTCTGACCATCACAATCAGATTATGAAGTAAACAAGCAGATATTATTTTTCCCATATTACTGATGAAAAAACTGATGATACAGAAAAGAAAAGTGAAATGATGTTCCCTGAGTTACATAGCTAGTGAATGGAGGTGGTAAAATTTGAAACTGAGTCTTTCAACTCTGAGTCTGATGATTATAGACAGAAGCTACAATACATCTGGCAGAGTTACCAGGAGTGCTGTAAGAGGGCTATGGAAAACTTGGATTTGTTTAGTCACAGTAGAACCAACTCTATAGGTGTTGTCTCTGTGGATTATATACATATGAGGGTTGGACAGAAATGGGAAGAGGTAATCACACTGTTTGGCCTTAGCAGTATTGTTTATAATCCTCTGATATATAAAGATGACAGGGGAATAATTACGGCTCACTGAGTTAGGGCCTAGACCCCAAATTTATCTAGTTCCATCTATTGATGGATGTATCATGGAAGGGAGTTGTTTTATAACTCAGGAAGGAAGAAGGAGACTGGAGTTTTAATTGGGAATGGAGGAAATTAGGACAGAGAGAATCTAATAGTGTCAGTTACGTTATGGTCTTAGTCTGGGCCTAAGTATTCATGGTTGGAGGAGTAAGGAGCAGAAAGTGTAAGAACTATTTGCCATGAGAGACTTGGCATTCTCCTGCCCTTGTCCTGAATATAATAATAATAAAAAGCAAGAAAATCTACAAAATCTTAATTTTTCATGACAATGTCTTTAATGCTTTTTTTTGAAACATCATATATCATTGTTTTTGTTGTTGTTAAGTGCCGTCGAGTTGTTTCCGACTCATAGCGACCCCATGCACAGCAGAACGAAACACTGCCTGATCCTGCGCCAGCCCCACAATCCC